ATATTACCACCTCACAAAGCTCTAATAAACTTCCTCCGCGTCACTTTAATGGAAAAGCCGCGGCTCCCTCTCTTCTCCTCTGTCTGATTCTGGAGGGGATTTCTTTGCTCTTTTCGTTGACCGAGCACAATTGTGTTATTGGAGATAATTAATTCCAATCCCCATCAAAAGGCCTTAGTGGCCTCGGGGGCCCCCGTGCGTGGCTTTCTAGCGGGGGAATGAAAGACAAGAGGGAGAAAGAGGCTGAAGGCTGCCGTATTGTCCCGGACATATTCTTCCATAAGGCGCGAGCGGAGAGAAAAGGGACCGAGGGGTTTTAGTGAAATGACGCTGGGGCCCCCGGGGGGCCGCCGCCGACACAGGGCCCCCCCCCCCCCCGCTGAGAACATATGGCCCGTATTACAGCCGCGGTCTGGGTGGCGGAGGCTCAGGAACCACGCGAAATCTTCCCGGTGATGAATACGGAAACTCTGACGTCTGGAAGCGGGAAGACGGGGGTTCGGAGCAATTCCCGTTTACCGGGACGTACACCTTTACAGATCATCTCAGGGACTGAAAAAAACGATGATTAACGAAACAAGGAGAGGGCCCAAACGACAACGCAACATCTCCATGAGGTCTCCATGATCCCAGCAATCCACATGAAGAAAATAAAGAATTCTCCTCTCCGTTTTCACTCCAAAAGCTCCGAGGTTCCGTAACAAAGAGAAAACCGCACAGAATCAGACACACACGTGATGATTTAGCGCAGGTGTGTGTGCCCTGACCCCAGGTGAGTGTCCCTATCACGGTCCGGCAGCCTGAGGGATCTTCCTCTTCCTGGAGCCTCCTCTCAGCAAAAAATCAGCTCTTTTTCCATTCCGACAGGCCCAAGCCGGAGCTGTTTTTTTTTTACGCGCTCAATCTGGCACACAACCCCTTTTGTCACACATCAAATGAACAATCAGTCTACTTTATAGGTGAACTCACCGTGAACAGATGTGTGCAGATGTACGAAAGTCCGACGCAAACAGACGTCAGGCTGTGGAGCGAGAGGGTCAAAAGCCAGAATTTAACTTGACCCCCTTTCAGGAGCAGTTGGACGGGCTTTCGGCCCCGACGCGTCTCCGCTTTAATGCCGCTTTAATGTCGGTTTAATTCCCGTTCTGAGGCCGTGCGTGTGCGGATGATTGCGAGATCACACAGCCGAGCGGCTGAAATGAGCCAAGCATCCTCGCATCACAGAGAAAAAAGTGTCCGGACGTGTTTCAGCCGCGAAAAATAAAATAAAATATAATAATAAAATAATAATATACATATATATATATGTATATACAGTGGGGGAAATAAGTATTTGACCCTCTTGCTGATTTTGCAGGTTTGCCCACTTACAAAGAATGCTTATTTTTCCTCATCAGATGGTTATCAATTTTTTATAAATTCATATGATGTGATTTTCTGGAATTTTCTTTGGGATTCTGTCTTTTACTGTTAGAATGTACATATGATTAAAGTTATAGATCGTTGCATTCGTTGTAAGTGGGCAAAACCTGCAAAATCAGCAAGGGGTCAAATACTTATTTCCCCCACTGT